CAATGCATTTGCTGTGCTTCCGGGTCATTTGATGTAGGGAGTGGGGACTTCCGGTCACTTTGATTACTATTGGCATTTGACCGTCACTTTCCTTACTAGCCATATTCATTTTCTTCTCATTTGAATGTTGTCCACAAGTGGATGCTTTGCAAATATTTTTTTAATGAAAAAAATTTATAACTTTATGGTATAGATTAAGTGTATATTATATAATAAGTCAAATAGTTGAATTCACTAATATACAAATTTAATCTTGTAGATCACGTTTAGAGTTCAAGTTTATACATCAGCATTTAAGAATATTTTTTTTTTTTAATACACTAAGCCGAGTGAGTAGCCCTTAAAATTGCTTGAAAAAAATTAGTCTTAAAATAAATAAAAGCAACTGTCTAATTACTTTTATTTCTATAAAAGTAAACCATAGTTTTAAACTAATACTATCTAAATAGTTTTGATTAAACATTTGATAAAATTAAAGGGATAGGGGATTTAACCGAAATTTTATATTAAAATTTGATATGAAGAATCATTACTCATATGATATGAGATAACCCACTCTTGTCAAACTCCTTCTGCACCTATTTTTGAATTAAAAAAAAATTCCAACATAAACGTTCAAATTTTACCAAAAAAATAATGATCAAAATGTTCAAGTTCTTAACCCCTAAAACATTTGCTAAAGATGTTGCGTGATTCATCCATGTGTGCACGATTGATTCATGTCAAAATTACCAATAAAAGGTTTCAAAATTGTTGATATCCTGTCCGTACATATCAAATTATTAGCCTTTCCTCTCATAAGCCACAAACTTAATGCATTAGGAAGCATTCAGATCAATATGCTCCAACTTGGCTATATCCTCCATTTCCATTGTAATGCAAAATGTCTAATGGGCTGTTTGGAAACTTGAATTTGATTAGAATGTATTTGAATTTGGAACTCCAAATTTAAATATGTTGTTTGTTTTTACTGAAATGCAATCTATTTGAATTTTATTTAAATACATGTATTTGAAACATTGTATTTCAATGTTAAAATTATATGTATTTCAAATACATCCTTTAATTCATAAATTTTAATTCTAAATTTTTGTACTTCATCAAAACAAAAAGTGTTCTTATTAGATAGATATTCAATTTAAATAATTATTAAAAGATGGTTCAATTTAACAAGAAATTCAATTTTAAATACACAACATTTTAATATATCTAAATAATGTATTTAAATATACATGTTTTTAAAATTCATTTTTTTAAAATTAATTCAAACAATGTATTTTAAATACATGTATCTCAAATACACATATCAAATACAAATCCACGTTTTCAAACACAACGTTAGAACTTTTATCGTTAGGCAAAAAATTTTAGATAAAAGGGAAAATTAGAACGTCCTGACATTAAAATTGTTAGGATGTTTAATAATAGTGACATGATAAATTTGATAAACTTAGGGACCACACTATATCCATAGGTGCAATTGTTGTAATTGGATGTTTTGACATTTTTAATATCGAAACGTCTTGATTTTTCCTTTTCTCATTTTTAATGTAAAAAATTTTAATTTTATTTAATAATTTAAATTGTATAATTTAATACAGTACTAACTATGCAATAGTTGTTCAAACTTTTATAAAATATCAAAGAAATTTCAATTGCAACTCACATATGAGTGTAGTTATGACCATTAATAAAATTATTAAGGCTATTAAATTTATATTTAATTTAATTGATATTTATAAATTTTTTAAAATAGATAATTATAATATTTAAAAAT